TTTACCAAATCTTCAAGTTCATTCACATTTTCTTCATTTTGATTCTCATTCGTATCTTCATTCATTAAACCTCCATATTCAAGATTTTCTTTATTCCAATGTTCTTCATTAACCAAATCTTCAACTAAATTCTCAGTTTGAACATTGTTCCTAAAAAAACTTATGAATAGCACCTTTTTGAGATTGAATCAATTTTTCTTCTCATCTTTTTTTTTTTCCTTTTTCCATACCCAAATTCAAATTTTCTTGTAGACATAATTGTCAAAAATCTTGAAATCTAAACAACAGGAAACACAATCAACATAAAACTAATTTTTTTTTAAAAAAAAAAAAAAATTGCTTTGTTGAGAAAATATGGATTACCTCAATGTCTTCAAGCGAAGGATTGCTTATGAGATGTCTAAATGATGTGATTTACAGAAATACAGAAATACCTCATGAGATGTCTAAATGGTCTTCAAGTGAAGTGTGAAAGATTGCTGGATTGGAACTCCTGTATTACAACAAATTCATTGAGTTAATTCACAGTTCAGACAGAAGAATAAAACAAATTAAATTAAAATAATTTTTTGGTTTAAGAATTACTTGAATTAGAGTCGAAGTGTTGAACTTGATTACTTGAACAATAACAACAACCCTTGTAAGTTACGAACCGTCGAACCCAAACTGGAAGTTTGGAACAATCTGATCAACAGAGAGAGAGGAACAGAAGCCGGAAGAGTGAACTTTCAACCAAAAAAAAAAAAAAACAGAAGCGTGAAACCGTGAACAATGAACTGTGAAGACGATAATGATTTGATCAACAGAGAGAGGAACAGAAGTGTGAACTTTCAATCAAGAAAAAAAAAAAAAAAAAAAAAAACAGAAGTGTGAAGCCATGAACAATGAACTGTGAAGACGATGATGATTGATATTGTGATTGTTTTCAATTTTCTGGGTTTTGAACTATTGATTTTTGAGGAAAAAAAAATGATTGTTGTAGTTGCAGTCTTGTCTTGGAGAGGCGCGAGTATCTTGAGATTCTTGAGAAAGAAAGTTCCGAGAATAGAGATTGGAATAGGATTCGGAGGTCCAAGGCCGTTCAAATGATTTGCCATTTGTTTTTTGTTTTTTTTTTTTAATTTTATTTAAGCCTCTTAAATGATTTGCTAGATTATAATTTTTTTTGGTGGCCTATCATTCAACGGGCTTACAAATATTGAGGCCTCTTAATGATTTGTTGTGCATTTGGTTATATTTTTTTTTTGTGGTCCATTATGCATGGGCCTATAAAATCTGAGGCCCCTTACAATCTGAGGCCCTAGGCGACCACCTTGGTCGCCTTGGGCCAGGGCCGGCCCTGCATGATACGAGCTTGAATGTTATATTTACTAATATATGTAAAGGTCAGTCTTTCTTCTTTTACTTCTCTGTTTTCTTTTTATTTTCTTTTCTTTTTTAGGATACACTATGCAATCATACAAGTCATGTTCTTTTTTAATTTAACCTCTTGTAGGTGCAATTTCTCACACCCGAGCACTTAAAGAAATAAATCGAAAAGAAATATGCGAAATATAAAGGAAACAATAGACAATTTTGTAGAGAGGAACAATGATAGGAATTCGATACTTTTCCATTTTCATTCATTCTCTATTTATAAGCTTTTTTTAGAGAATAACATAGAGCCCTTTTCTGGCATTTTTTCTAGACGTGGGTATTTATGCGTACTGATCCTGTGCTTATTTCTTTTATGGCGGGTGTTATGGAGTTATGGGCTCACCATGATCGGGCTGACCATTTTTATGTCGAACGGAGCTTCCTTTGTTAATATGGCTGACTTGAAATGTGGTTTTTGCTATTGGGCTCCCAATTGATAGTAGGCTTTTGGGTGATTTTAGTTTGCAATGAATTGCACTTTACTGTCACGTGGTATGTTGTGGTTAGTGGGAATTTTTCCCTCCACACCTCTTTTATTTAATTTGGTCTAACCTTTATATCATTTTCTTTTCAGGTTTACAACTCAGTGAAATACTCACGGAAAGATTTTGAGAGTGATTTTTATGCAAGTTTTTTGTTTAACTATTTATCTCCCTTTTAATTAAGACTTTTGCACTTTGGTTTGGAACAAAATTATTTTGCTTTGTACTTTGAAAACTAGTGAACTTATTAATTTGATTGTTTGGTTTGAATAATATTTATTATTACAATTGATGTGACAGCACATTAAAATGGATTAACCCATTTGAAATTCGGATAATTCAAAGGACAAAAGAATGGAGTCAAAATTAAAATTTCTATATTAATGAAATTTTCTCAAAATCTAATTTAATGTATATTATATATTTATTTCCAAAATACCCTTCTTTTGTTGTTATGAAATTCTGTTACTACCCCTCATATCTAGAGAAAGAAATCCATATATGGCAATCCTTCTTCCCAAACGAACAACCAACAAACTTGATAAATTCATCCAAAACTTATGGTCATTTGCATTTGTCTAATGATTTAGTGGATTTGCTATTTATTTTTTTAAATGGGTTTGCTAGTTAGGTGGGTGAAAGAAATAGATAGCCAATAAAAAAGAATGAATTATTTTTGCCATCACAGAGGAACACATTCAAAAGGGGCTGGTTTAGGGGTGTGAGAGAGATTGATGATGAAATAGGTTGTTGTTTTTTATTTTTTATTTTTTATTTTCTATTTTCTATTTAATGGGTTTGCTCTGGAACAATTGAGACTTCTAATCTTGCGGGCCTTTGGTCACCATTAAAAGTTAGTCCACTACATGGAGAGAGGGCTTTTCATCCAAAGAAAAGAAAAAAGCTCGAGGCATTTAAGCACAGGCGATACAAAGGCAGAGATCCATAACAGTAATAGAAGGGTATTTTGGAAATAAAAAGATGATATAAATTTAATTTCCATGTCCATCTCAGATTTTGAGAAAATTCTATTAATTTGGAAAACTTAATTTTGGCTCCATTCTTTTTCCTTTGACCCACAAAATTCCATTTTATGAAATTATCCCTTTGAAATTTATCTATTTTTGTTAATTTCTTTCATATTTTGCAATTAAATATTAAATATATATATATATATATATACACAGTCATATTAATACGTGGACATATTTAAATGCGTTGGAGTGCAAAGAGGTCACGGACATATTTAGATGCTGTCCAATTCTCATTGGTTCAAGAGATTATAACAACCTGATGGGTCATCGTATTAATATAGCATGACATAAAAACTAAGGTTATTCTAAATTTAAAAAAGAAACTAGTTATTCTAAATTTAAAAAAGAAACTGTCGTTAAGAATGTCGGAAATCTAAAGCCGTACCGTGGACGTGTGCTAAGCAATCGAGAGGAAACTCCCACGAGAGAGGAGGTGGGTCCCACCGGCTCAGCCGCCACGCTTGAAATACGCGTAAAAACCCATTGCCTAATTGGCCTCTCGATTGTTATATTCTGTCTTGTATTTACGTATTATAATACATTCAATTTAATATTGTAGGTGCATAAAATATCTTAGTACCGAACAACAATTTGCAATAAGACGTATTTAAAATTTTTCTAATTTATAAATATCCTCATGATGCATGTATAAATGGTTTGTGCTCTGTTTTTAGTTGGGCCCATTGCCTAATTGACCTTAAAATACACTTAATTAAAGGTGAAACACATGACACGTATGCAATTAGTGTATGTTTGGGTGTGTTGACCGACTTAGAGTATTATATAAAGAATTTATATATCCTATCTTGCAAAGCATTTGTTATTTTAAAGAATTAAATTGACAAGCTTGTAATATAAGCTTTGTTGACCGACTTATTATTATACATTCAATTTAATACTGTAGGTGCATTCAATATCGTATTGAACAACAATTTGCAATGCGACGTATTATAGATTTTTCCAAATTATAAATATCTTCATGACGTATGTATAAATGGTTTGTGCTCTGTTTTTAGTTGGGCTCATTGCCTAATTGGCCTTAAAATACTCTTAATCAAAGGTGAAACTCGTGATACGTGTACGATTAGTGTATGTTTGTGCGTGTGTGTTTGTTTGATATGTGATTATGACTTTTGTGCATTTGTTATTTTAGCTTATACAATCGTTGATGTAGGATTACTTAAGATTTCCTGCATTTTGGATTGGAGATTGATTTTTGTTTTTAGTTTTTCTTTTTCCTCAAAAGTTAAACAAGTTGTATAAATAAAAGAGCATTTACAAAGGCACAGTGAAACCCAAACAAGAGGATAAAAATATGGAAAACCCAAACAAGTCCAAAATGGACTTTGGATGTTGGTTGCAAATTGCAACCTTATTTTATTTCTAAATGTTTGTTTATGGTTTTAGTCCACTAAACGTTACACTTACGTTTTCTATATCATTACAAACGTAGTTTGAAATATTGATTTTTGTAACAATTAACTTTCACGTTAAGTAATGTTATATGGACTTGTTTCTATCGTCTTGGTTTAGAATAGAAGTTTTTGTATAATTTCTCATAAACTTACTTCTAACTACGCGGTTTGGAGAATCTACTTAAGTCTTCACCTAAAAGAGCATTTACAAAGGCACAGTCAAACCCAAACAAGAGGACAGAAACATGGGTCCAAAAGGCAATTTGGATGTTGGTTGAAAATTTGCAATTTGCGACCTTATTTTATTTCTAAATGTTTGTTTATGGTTTTAGTCCATTAAACGTTACACTTATATTTGCAATTTGCAACCTTATTTGATTTCTAGATGTTTGTATGGATTAGGATGGAGTGTCGAAATTCAGAGGAAGTTCCCATGAAAGAGGAGGAAACCCTTATTTTATTTCTAAATGTTTTGTATGGTTTAAGGAGTGTCATAAACGTTAAATAGGACTATAAGATTTGTTAAGCAATTCAGAGGACGTGTTGGTTAAGGAAGACCTAAGCAATCCAGAGGAAGCTCCTACGAAAGAGTAGGAAACCCTTTCAGAACACCGTCTTTACGCGTATCAAGTTGCGACGAAACTTCTAAGTCAACTTCTAAGTCTACATATTTGTTTCAAGCTTGTAGCATATATTTGTGAGAGTTGTGTGCGGTATAGGTAAGGTTTCTCAATAGCTTGAATTTTTTGGAATGGTTTTGCATCTAATTTTTAAAAACAAATTAGTCCTGCATGTGTGTGTGTATATATATATATGTGTGTGTATGTTTTGTTATATTTTCACCCTCTTTAAAGGTCTCTTATTATAGTTTTCACACTCTTATCATTTTTTCAGGTACCACGACTAACTCGGGAGGAATCTGAAGTATCGGATTAGCTTTGTTGGGAAATTACCTTGCTTTGAATTTTAGGTATTTGACTAAATGCCCGTGTACTGATTTGATCTAATTTTTAAAAACAAATTAGTCCTGCATGTGTGTGTGTATATATATATATGTGTATGTTTTGTTATATTTTCACCCTCTTTAAAGGTCTCTTATTATAGTTTTCACACTCTTATCATTTTTTCAGGTACCCACGACTAACTCGGGAGGAATCTGAAGTATCGGATTAGCTTTGTTGGGAAATTACCTTGCTTTGAATTTTAGGTATTTGACTAAATGCCTGTGTACTGATTTGATCTAATTTTTAAAAACAAATTAGTCCTGCATGTGTGTGTGTATATATATATATGTGTATGTTTTGTTATATTTTCACCCTCTTTAAAGGTCTCTTATTATAGTTTTCACACTCTTATCATTTTTTCAGGTACCCACGACTAACTCGGGAGGAATCTGAAGTATCGGATTAGCTTTGTTGGGTAATTACCTTGCTTTGAATTTTAGGTATTTGACTAAATGCCCGTGTACTGATTTGATAATTATGATTATTTTTCACATATTTTGATATTCTCATTCAATTTTTTAAAATACTCATTATATATATTCTTACATTTTAGATTCAAATGAAGTAAAATAAATCGACTTTCTTGTTTTTTTCCATCCCATATACACATCCATGGTAATTAAGGTTGTGCAAATAATCCGTGAATTCGCGAATTCAATCCGATCCGTACAAATCAGATCGGATTGTTACACCCACAGATTAGTGACAGATTCAAAAAAATCGAATCCGTAACTCACGTATTGGGCTGTTAAAAATCCGTAAGTCCAATCCGTGAAATATATATATATATTTTCAAAGAATATATTGATTTAATTAGTTAATGATAATTTAATGGATTCTAAAGATGTATTACTTAATAATTATTTAAATATATGAATTAATATTAATAAATTAAAATTTTATCTATTATGGTTAAAAGATAAATATATAATATTTATTATTAAAATAATAATGAATAATTTAGATAAAACCTAATTCGTAGATTCGATCCGTTCTGTTATTATACGGATTCGATCCGTGGGATAATGGATCGGTGACGGGTTAAAATTTGTCTAATAAATTTTTATATTTATTATTTTATTTTAAAAAATTATCTTCAATTTTTTTTTTTTCTTCCCACTCAAAAAAATTTCTTAGTCCTCACTGATGACAGAGACACCCCCTACCCAGGCACGGACCCAACAGGTGACCAGGGGGGGATCTGCCCCACCTGGATTTTTAATATTTTCATTTTATACCCTAATTTTTTAAAATTTTATGAAAATACCCCCCTAAAATTACAATTCGCCCCCACTAGATTTTTTTTTTTAGCATTTTATACATCAAATTTTGATAATTTATGAAGATGCTCTCACTAGAATTATAATTTACCCCACTAATTATTATTTTTTTTTTTTTTCATTTTATACTTTAAAAGTTTTAAAATTTATGAAAAAAATCCTATTAAAATTACAAAAATAAACCCATCATATAATTTTTTACCCACAAATTAAAAAGCCGGGTCCGTCACTGCCCCTACCTATATATCTAACCCAATCTTTCAAATTTCGATTTAGGGCCAACAACAACAATGGGTGGTGATTCTAGCAAACTAAAGCAACAACATCGATATTCAGACATCGCGTCTGATCTGATCGCCTACATGGACGCGTGTCAACTCGACCCATTTCTTCAGTCATTCGATTCCACCCTCCAAAAACGCTTCACCGGAGTCATCCACACCATCGCAGTGGACGTCGGTGCTCGGTCAGTCTCTCTGGGCTCACTGAGAAAGCTCACAGACTGCATCCTCAAAACCAATGAACAGGTGGTCAATTTCATTCTCGAAAACGAAAAGGACATGTTCAATAAGGAAGAGCTTTTCGAATTCGTGAAATGCTACCTGGAAAACAGTCTTCAGGATGTGAATGACTGTAATACTCTGGACGAGTACCTCAACAGCCATTTGATGATTCAATTTGACGATGAACACAGAAAATGCACGTGGTGGGAAAAAGAAAAATTCTACTCGGGGACGCTAAAGAAGCTGGAGGATTTCAAGACTGCAGCTGATCCATTTACGCAAGGGGGGTTGTCCTCCTTGTTAGACAAAGTTTATCAAAGGCAAAGTTGTATGTTAAAGAATGTGCAAGCTATGAAGATTAGGCTTGATAAGAAGTTGAACAAAACAAAGGCTTGGAAGATTGTATCCAATGTCATTTTTGGGGTGACTTCTGCCTCTGTGCTGATATGTTCTGTTGTGGCGACCGCGCTTACTTCACCGCTGGTTGTGACAGCGTTGGCGGCTGTGGCTGCGGCTGGGTCGAATTTGGCGTCAATGGGTGGATGGATTAATTCCCTTTGGAAGAAGTATGAGAATGAGGTGGAAGGACAGAGCAAGATGAAAACGAGTTCAAAAGTTTATGGGACTTCCATTGGGAAATGTGACTTGGACAGCATTGGAGTACTTGTGGATGAATTGGAAATTGAGGTGAAGTCACTGTTAGATACATCTGATTTTTATGGTGAAAAAGAGGTTGCTGTGATGCGGACTATAGATGAGATCCAGGAGAAGCTGCGTGTGTTTGAGGAATTGAGAAAACATATTTATAAATGTCGCGGTGATATAGAGATGGGGTACAACAAGATCATGGCGATTATCAGAAGTCGCAACAAGTCAACACCATGGTTTTTAAATATATAACCCACTTGTGGTACGTCTTGTTAGATCTGATGAAATTGTAGGCATTTGATGAGGATGGTATAAAATGCTTTTGGGAAAAAAGCCACCGACAGAAACGTTCCCACCTCTCTCTACCTTTCACTCTTTATGCCAGTTGTCTTCTTCTTCTTTCTGTGCTCTCATCTATGAGAGTGGGACCTGCTAGCTGCCTCGCACGATTGCAATAAACTCGACGTATTCAAATAAGTGGGCTCCGTGGATGTTGTTTTACGCCATTTTTGTTTTTGTTCGGCTAGTTCGGCTTTTGTTTGTTTTGTTTTCGGCTCACCTGGACAGATCTGCTGTTTTTTTACAGCTAGATCTCTGATCTAGGCCGGTTAGATTTGATCATTTTCTCCTTAATTGGATCTTGTGCCGGGTTTTGTGTGTCGGAGCACCTTGTGATTGTACCTTTGGAGCGATTGTCGTGCTGATAGCCAGACCTTTCAATCTCTCTAGTTTGCTGTTTTCTCTCATGGTGGTTCTATTTGTAGATTGTTTTGCTCTGTTTTCTCTCCAAAATCTGGAGTCTATTATTTATTTATTTACTTTGCTTCAAGATTTATATGCCTTTTCTAGCTTGGCTTTATGTCTCTGTACTGCCATCTTGGCTTTAGGCCTTTCAGCCTTTGAATGACAAAAAAAAAAAAAAAAAAAAGGATTGTATAATTGATTATATTATTTGATGAATTTAGTGTTGTAGTGCTCATTTAACATGGTTAATTGTATTAAATTAATGTAATTTATTGTGGTTTTGAAGAAATCATGTAGTAGGTTGCATGGGACCCTAGAAAACTTCCAATTGGGAAGGGCTAATCTAAAACATGATTTTTAAAGATTTTTGTTTAGTTTGATTCATGGGATGGGCTTAGGGCTACTTTTCATGTTACATGATGGGATGACAAATTAACTCACCCCATTTAAACTAATTTAGGTACCGATTTTGGGTACCTAAATCCTAATCTCAGCTCATATTTATGCTCAGTACCCCAATTGTTAGAGACACTCCCATTCCCAAATTAATCCACCCCTTAAACCTTACTAACAACCGTCAGGCGTGCTCCTTCTTCTTCTTCTTCTTCTTCTTCTTCTTCTTCTTGTGATAATTTCAAGTGGTCTCTCTAGTATACTGTAGTATTAGCTTGAATGTTATATTTACTAATATATGTAAAGTTTAGCCTCTCTTCTTTTAGTTCTCTATTTTCTTTTTCTTAATTTTCTTTTTCAGATATATACTTTGCAATTAAACAAGTCATGTTCTTCTTTAATTTAAACTCTTTAATTTGGTCTAGCCTTTATATCATTTTCTTTTCAGCTCTACAACTCGTGGAATATTCATGGAAAGACTTTGAACAGACATGATCGACAGTGATTTTTATGGAACTCTTTTGGTTTGGAAGAAAATTATTTTGGTTTGTACTTTGTCTTGGCAGGTTGAAAATTGCAAACTTATTAATTTTGTTAGTTTGGTTTGAAGAATATTTATTGATCGACTTATACGAAAATCTTTCCATGAGTAATTAATTGTACAAGTTTTATGTTAGTTTTTTATATCCATTTATGTATGTACAAGGGCGTAAATTAGTGTGGGCTAACCTGGGCTAGTTCAAAAAAATAAAAAAATAAAAAATAAAATAATTAGTGTTACTGCTTTCTATCTGCCATAGTCCAACCCAATCAATCATAGCCCAGCCCATGCCCATGCCCATGCTCATGCCCAATCCATAATAAAACAAAAATAGCAAATGGCCCAACCCAGCAATGAGTAACTCTCTTAACAAAATTAAGAAGTAACATGCTGATGAAATCTCACTTATCTTATAAGAGAATATTCATTCCATACAAATAGCTCTTTTAGTGTAACCAAAGTTACAAAGCCCATCACTTATTTATTATTATTATTATTATTAATTTTTTTGCTATTTTTGAATATATATAACATATCTTTGTCATAAAAATTATTGTGTTCATCTTTAAATTTTATATCTTTAGCCCCCCTCACTTTGCAATCCTAGCTCCGCCCCTGTGTATGTATATATATAAGCAAAAGAATATGATGAAAATGCTTATTAATTTTGGGCCTCGAACATTTTTTTGAATAATTACCCGCAATATGTTTGGGTTGATAAAATTGGGTGGTGCAAGTGTTCAATGCTATGATCAAGAAGAAGAAGTTGAGCGAGATTACTCAAACCAATGAGAATTTGAGTGAACATACTGCGAAGTGCAGCACTAATATAATGAGAGGCTACCGGTGCCAGTGTCTTGTTTACCGAGTGGTTGGGTTACTATCTTGTGGAGTTTGTATTCGAACCTTGCACCCTCTCCGTCTACTCTAATATTCTTACCATGAAAAAAATAAAAATTTGAAACAATAATAATTGTTAGGGAAAAATAAACCTAATCTACCTTGACCTAACGATAGAGACAACAAAGTGTTGACCAGCCGCCACACCTCTTCGACTTTCGAACGATGATATTTCCATTGGATAAGAATGATAATATTTCATTATCTAGGATAAGGAGAATTTAAATGAAAGATTAGATGACGTGGTTCAATAGGGTAAGGATAACCTTGTTACAATTTGAAAGTCAAAGGGGTAAATCATATCCCCAACAAATCTGGCAACATACGGATCTCCTCTGACCTCGCGCAAACGGATCTCCTCTGATCTCGCAAACGAACGGAGGAAGAGCGGCTATAAGAATGAGATCCTACCAGTCAATCAGGTATAACAAAAAACTATTATTAAATCCCTACCTTTCTTTTAGACATCCCGTGACTAACTTGATCGTTGGAGAGCTCTTGACAGGCACCACACTAGTGCCGTCAAGATTTATCGATCTTCTACTCTCTTTTTTGCAGGAAAACAGTGTCGTATCGTACCGCGTGGATTTCTTCCCTAACAGTTGGCGCCGTCTGTGGGAACTACGATTTCCTTAAATATTGTTCAGTTGGGTATATGCGTTTGCGGTCCGATATGGTTACCGAAGGAACATCGTTGCAGGGATCTGGTCAAGGGAAAGAGTCGGGTGAAAACCTAGACGTCCCAAACGACCAGGAACGGCTTGCAGCGTTGGAACTACAGGTCCAAACTCTGAATTAGGGTATAGACCAATTGGTCTAGCAAAATGCACTGCTCCTGAACATCTTGTTCCACCTGTTCAACAGAACTTGCCACGACAAGACCTCTCGAACCCAAACAAAGGTAATGGGAATCTTGAGGAGCGGGATAATCATATTCCCTGAAATTAGACCGAAGTGGAACAAAACCAGGTAGGGAACCGACAAAGAGAGGTGATTGTGATACCTCTCGGATCCGAGACACGGGTTGATCAGGCCCAGGCCCAAACCCGAGGGAAATATCAAACAATTAATACGCAATGCGAACACAGAATACACAATTTAAAGAATAAAAACCTCCAATTAATTAACAACTCGGGAATCCACCTAGTAGACCTCTAATAAAAATTCCAACTGTAAAATAACATAACTATAACCAAAAATCCAGAACTAATAAAGAAGCAGTCCTACGTAGTCAGTGGAATAGAAGTTTGTATCTGCTCTGCACAACCAAGCTCTAACCCTGGAACTGACAAGCACCTGAAAAATAAAAGAGTATGTCAGGCTCACATGCAAGTCCTGATCTACTATGATCCAAACAGGAATTCGATACGCAAATACATCCTAGATAGACTCAACAATATCTAGAGTAGTCCATATATGTATATATTACACACTATAGGACACTCACTAGTCCAATAGGTTTGTCTCAGCCTGAGTAGAGATACCATGCAAATCGCACATTACGTGGTCATGTGTACCTAGACCTACCAGGGAACAACACCTATGTCTAGTTATCCATCCTAGGTGATATACGCACCCTAACCATGGTTGTGAGACTCAAACTCATACCATGGCATCATAACATAAATATATAAAATCCGTGTCCTCCTAATACAAAATATCATCCATCTGATATAGTGGCTTGATATCTGTACAACAGTTCATTCCAGAAATCCAATTATGTCATTCAGTTATTTACTAACCTGACAATGATAGAAGTCGGACTTAACTTTTATTGTTTATCAGAACCCCAATCCAGATTAGGTAGGCTAGTGTCTGAACTAATCCATCCCTGGTATGCCACTGTCCCATACCGGTGCATACAGTCCTCCAATCCACAAAATTGATAAAAATAACATTTAATTTATTTATCAACAGTTCTCCAAATATGCATCAGTACAGTTTAACACATATATAATGGCATTAGGTATTCACTACACACCTTAAAAATCAAGCTCCAATTATTTAATTTGCTAAAATAAATCATAGCATTCCAATTCTCCAAAACAATCGATAAACTGATACAATTATGACAATTTATGCATTAATTAAATCTAACTAAGCATAGTTAAATATAATTAATTCACCATACTTATAACACTGGAAAAAAAAAAACATGAATATATATAATTAGATTATATATAAAAACCTTACCAAGTTCCAGTAAAATAAAATTAACAAAACAGTGTGCAAGCTACCAATTTCCTCTTGAATTTTCCTTGCTCTAATTTTCAATCTAATTATGAATTTATATTTTTTTCACCATAATACTAGCCTTATTCAGTCCTACACATCATTTAAAAACAATTTATATTAAGTGTATAAACCCAGAAACACCAAATAGCCCCTTAAAACAACCCGTTACAGTATTTTCAAAAGAGAGCAGGCTCTTAAAATGGGAGCCTGCTCCATTTTTTCTACCTAGAGCTGGCTCTAGGCTCTTAGAGCCGGCTCCAAGACACCAAGAGCCGGCTCTCCCCTTTGGGAGCCGGCTCTAAGAGGTTTGGGAGCCTTCTCTCCCTCCTCCTAGTAGTCTCGTCCAGTCTAGCTTCGTCTTCTTCAACTCCAGTGATGTTCCAGCCCTTTGCACTGTATTAAATTCCTTTTCTAGTATCTAATTAACATTCTAGACTACTTACAAGGCACCCATATGCATCATTAATTTCAAATAGCAAACATTAAAACGCATAAATCGAAGAAAACAAACTAACAGAGATTTACAGAATTTTGAATAACAGTTTTGCTAAACAAAATTAATTATTAGTCAAGCATGCAATATAGATTTTATAAGAATTATTAAACTCCTAGAGTCCATCTAAACATGCACAGAACACAGATTCATGGGAAAGAATAGAACAGAAACTTGCCTTTGAGACTTTGAATAAAAAGTCTCTAACTATTGCCTCTATCTTCTCTGGCTACGTTGTTTGTGTTAAACAACTCTTGCTGCTCCTATTATAGTCCAGTAGCCCACACCAAACTTCCTTCCTTGATCCTGCTTTGTAAATCACCCAAGTTCACTCTCCGGTTCTCTCTCTGTTTTCCTTCTGTATCTCACAATCTCTGTTTTTTTTTACAGAACTTACGTTTATTTTTCCGAAACCCTAAACCACCGTATTGCATATATTTATAAGTGTAAATTAACAATAACCCAATCCATGTACAATTAAAGACTAAGCCCTAATTCTAATCCTAACAGCCCATGAAACTATCTCAGTTGTAACATACGGCGGCTTACCTATACGTAAATTTTAATCCAAAGTTTAAAACTGTAACTTAAAAAAAATACTAACTCAATTTTAAGACTACAAGAAATATAGTAATTAATTACCTAAGTTTAAAACAGTAAAATACAACTAATTAATTAAAACATTTAAACAATTAATTCCAATTAAATAATCCAATTAAATAATTAA